ACAGTATGCTTATTTTATCAAAAATAGACCATTATGAAACCTGGCTTTTGCACCTGCTCTTCATTAATTTTTGAAGTTAAGTAGCTTTGCGTGGTCTTTTCTACCAAATACCAGAGGGCGCTTGGGGGTTATTAGCAACAAATTCTTGCTGAATGTAGAGTTTAACACTAATGGCAAAATAATCCACTCCTAAAATTGTAGTTTAACTACTGTTAAGCAAAAATACCAAAACAAAACTGCCAAAAAAACCAAGTACACCCTCAAAAGCTTTAAGTAATGGAGAACTGTTACATTACTTTGTACTGGTTTTAGGAGAGTTTGAATTTGGTATAAGTAAAAGTTGAAATTGTAATATTATTGTATTTCTGTTAAATTGAAAAAAACTATTGGCATTTAAGAAAAACAGACAAACATAACTTGGAAAAATACTCATCATAGTTCACATATTTTCTTAAAAGTTCTTCTGTGTCTGGAAGCAGTAGCTCTAGCTGAACGTTAGAGTTTTAGTTTCACATGGAGTGTGTGAAATGAATCAATCACACAATTGAATTCCTGTTGGAATTATCCTGGAAGCTTTTTCAGGAGAAAAATCTCAGCAATGGAAAAATCTGAAAATGCAACCTTCTACCTACCCGTGTTACTGTCATTTAGGGCAGAATTTTATTTCACTCTTTAGGTATAGTAGAAGCAAAGCTTGTTTGGAGAAAAAAGTGGAGGTTAGTCTTTTTCGTGGCTGTAACAAGGAAGAGAATCAAACTAATTTCTTTTTTTCTTTTTTTTTTTTTTTAAGAAGCAAATATTGGTAATTCGTTTTTCAGCAAATAACAAATGTCTTTGCAATTAATTTTGCATGATTGGCCTTTGGTTGTCAGCCAAGAAATGTGATCAGTCATATTTTAGTAGTTCTTCGAAATGTCATATACATAAAGTTAGAAACTACTCAGGGATCAAATAAGTAGGTATTTGTTAGCAATACTCAGTGTCTGTGTATCTTCCCAGCTTTCCTGTGGTGTGATCTATGTCAGCCATACTTAACATAGTTCTGCCATTTTTGGAACCTGTGGGTTTCAAAAACCCCAACCCTGCGTGTAAACTAAGTGCCCTGAAAGGGAAGGGTCGTGGTTTTGGCACTAACGGATCCCGACAGTGAGGGACTTACTAATCATACTTAAAAAAAAGTGGGAAAAAACTCCCCAGAATTCTTAACTGCTGGGGATGGAAAAAAGAGAGGCAAACAGGAAGAGTTCCAAGCTTCAGATATTTCCTTCTTGCTCTTTGTTGGAGTGTTTTGGAGTTATTTTGGCCCAAACTTATGTTGTGGGATGTACTTGTATGAGATACACAACTAATAAAAACTAGAGAGAAAAAAAAAATCTCAGTGTATCTTAGTGAGCATTTGTTGGGATTTTTTGATACCACCTTTTGGATAACAAAAAACCTGTTACTTTGTTTTAAGATTGCTGAAAGTATTTAGAGGACAGTAAATGTTTGTTTCTTAAGCTGAATGGACACCTTTGATACTGAAGATCACAGGGAACCTGAAACTACCATTGCTTGTATTTTAACAGTAAAATATCCTGCTGGCTTCTGGTTTGTGTAACTTTTGTAAATATAGCATCACTTTTTAAAAAGCTGAGCTTTCTTAGTCCTAAAATACTCTCCTATTACTCAGTTCTAAAACTTACCTAAATCTTATTTCATAGGGTTTAAAGTTTCCTTATGATGAGAAATACAAAGTTTCTTAATACTAACAGGCCTCTGTGGCCTAAATCTAGATCCTGTGCTAGTTGTTGGCCTCATTTTGAATCCTTTTGGTTGAAATTTTCCAAATACTTTCATTCCAAGATTGAAACTGTGGAAAAATATTGTTATGTCCAAGTGAGTTAATTTAGAAACGTTTTATTATTGCTCAGTTTTCAAGGAAGAAAATTGAGTTTGGCTGCACTGAGGATGTTTCAGTTTGTAAGAGCTGTGTGAAATTCAACAGGACTTTCCATGCATTTGCAATTCGGGGCTGCCTTGGCAGGCCTTGGTAGATCTGGTTTTAATAACAAGGTTGGCAGGAGAGGGAAAGGTGGTACAAAGAATTGTTTGTTTAAAATACAAGTAGAGGATCTTTTTCAACCTATACTCTCACTGGCTTCTGTTTCCCTGCTAGGAAAAATGGGGGAAATGGCCTGGAGTGAGAATACAGGAAGGAAGTCAGGGTCTGGGTGGGGCAAATAGGAGCTCCTGACCAGGTGCCACAGCACAAGACCAGCTTGGAATCTGGAATCTGGGAGTCCATGCTGGGATTAGGAGCCAGCAGGCGGAGTGAAAGACATGATAGGGATGAGAGAATGTATCTGAAGAACAAGCAGGATCAGGAGAACAAAATGACATACTGAGCCAAGAATTAATATTGGCAAAGATGCTTGAGAGCAGGTTACAAACGTGGTCATAGAAGCTGAGATCCCTGCTTGTTTTGTAGCCTAAGCCTGTTACCTTTGAGCCTTGCACTAAAACTGAAGTTTGACAGTGAGGGAAGAGATTCGACCAGGGCAGAACACATTGAGTTTGGAACAAACAGGTAGAGGAGACTGTGATCACTGCAGTGCCATTTGGTGCTTGGAACCAAGCCCAACCAGATCATTGCTGCTGCCAGTGCTTCAGCTCAGATTGCAGATACGTGATACTTAGGATTTATTAGCCCAGGTTTCAGTAGGTTTCCACATAATTTGTTTTTCACTGGCTACTTTAGAAATGACTAAGGTATATGTAGGCATGTATTATGTCTGGGGAAAAATATGAAGAATCTTAAGAACTTCCAAGTGAAGCACCCTGAAAATAGGAAGAAACAGGTTGTGTGTCAAGTTTCTCTCCCTGGGTGTGACACGTGCGTGTGGCTGCACGCTGCAAATAAGATTCAAGAGAAAAACCATCTGATGAACTGGGTTCTCCCATGCCACTGTTGCAATGACCTTATGCATTATCCAGTGATAAACTAAATAGCTGAATACCAGTTGGTTTGCTGGGTGCCTCCCTCGAGGATGTGCAACATGGGGTAGGGCTGTAAGAGCAGTACTTTGAGAAATAGGCTTCTGAGATGAGGGAATGCATTTAACCTTAGTTTGAAAGTACCTCTGGCAGCTCCTATGTGTGGTGGTGCTGGAGGTGTGTTTTTGGGAGCAAAGGGTCAGGATCCTCAAGGTTTCTGTTCAGTTGCTCTTTTGGCAGGCAGCCAGTGCTGTCCTACTCAGCACAGGGGAAGGGCAATGCAGTTGAACACCCTTGTTCAGCTAACCCTGAACAGATTTTTATGGGACGAATAAAAGTCACTTTTTTCATCCCATATAGCTCTATCTTCCTCTAATTGCTGCTGTTTGCAGACAGCCTGTGAAGTTCAAAGGCGTTAGTCAGTTCCAAGATGGCAAGAATATTGTGTGTTGTAACTGTTCACTTGCAGAAGTGTAGCAGCTCCTCCTACAAGCAGTGTGTATGTTATGAGGACTGTCATGCTTGAGTGTAATATAATGTCTTTCCACTAAATGAAATACCCATAGGACACTGGCTGAGTAGAAGCACTGGCAAGGGGATATAGGCCCTTTAATCTTTAGGAATGATAAAGTATTTACAGTTGATGGCTGTATAATGGCATAAAATAAGTAGTTACAGTCTTGCTTCCAAATAAGAGGTCTTAGTATCTCACATAACCTCATTTAGGTGGTTTCAGGAAAGCCACGGATTTAATAACAGCTCTGATCCTCAGTGCCTCCCATCTACATACTTGGGCCTGGCCAATCCCAGTTGTATTGTGCTGGTAGAAGGGTGTGAAGCAGCTTTGTCTCGTGCTGCTTAGTGAACAGACTTCAGTTTCCAGGGCAAATACCTATTTTTGTGTGAGAGATTCTTTTCCTAAAATGTCAGTGTTTGTGCAGTACAAATAGGATAGAGGAAGACTGCACATAACTCTAGGTGAGGGCAGCTCAATAGATAAATGATAAGCCACAGCAATAGTTGTTAGACTGAAGTATGACCGTCATCAGCAACAGGGTCAGTCAGGGAGGTTTTGGTCTGAAATCTGTTTTGAAAAGTCTCCAGCAATGGCAAGTTTTAAGCTTCAAGGTGAGCACCACATGTAGACAGAACAGATAACCACCACTGATTCCAGAAACCTTATAAAGAGGAAAACAAGATTGAAATATTTTCAAGACTTACTGATTTACTTACATCGTAAGGAAATGCTTAAGAATGAAGCAAAGTTTATTCTGTATATCAGGGGTTGCCAATGTGTTTGATACAAAAGTAAAAAATGATAGTGTGGATTACTCAAATGTGTCTTCTTCAAACTTCTGCTTTTGGATTAACATCCTTCTTCCTGCAATATGCAAAGGTTCACTTTACATAAAAAGCAGGGGGAGGGGGGGGGAGAAAAAACCCTCTACTTTACTAGAGGAAAGAGAATCTTGTACTCTTTCTTGTAATGCTTCAGATACTAAGCTGTCAATAGACAGAAATGCTACACTCTTACTTCCTTTAGAAAGATGATTTCTTTAATTTTCTGAATGCCATAAATTGCCCTTCTCCCCTCCTCCCCTCTTTTTTTTTATAACTAAAGCTGCTTCACTTTCTGTAGCTTACATTGCACTAAATTGATGACGAAGAATGGTGTGTTTTAAGAAGATAAATGTCAGGAATGTCTTCTAAAGTAGACATTCAGATTTTTTTGGATTAATGGGAAAGAAGGTCAATAATTGCATGGATTTCAATAAGCTTGAGAAGAAATGGTATTCCTGTGGTGCTAGTGATTATTAAAACATTGTGAATTCATTTCAAGATACTGTACTCAGGTTTAATATATCTTCCATTGTGAAGGAATGACTCGGTAAGGGCTGCCAATTTGTACAGGTGATAGGAGATAATTCATAAAGCAATTGTATTTTTAAGAGAAAAAAGTTATAGCAGACAGTACATAAATTTCTGGATGGTAGTCTTAATTTTGATTCTGCCTTATTAAATAGGGCCCTCCAGACTTCCAGCAGCATACTCCTGGACCAGTTCCTACCAATTTCTCCCAAGCACCAAGGCTGCCAATCCAGGACCAGTGGAGAGGGCCACCGCCACCACCACCACCACTCCCTCCTCCACCTCCTCAGGATAGAGATCCTTTCTTCATAGCAGGTAAGCATTTTATTCCTATTAACAGACAAAATCCCAAAATCCACTTTTTGTAAAGTCACTCTGCAGTGGGAGTTTGTATCCCACACCATGAAGAGTTTAAAGGAACCTGAAGGCTGGAAGGTCCTGATTGATGTAGCCAGACTGGTACATGCCAAACATTCTGGTTGTCTGGTATCTTTTTACTTTTTTTGATGTATGTTCTCATCTGTAACTGCCATGACTCTGGATATTTATACAGGAAAAAAAAAAATCTAAGTGATGATTGCATTAAAAATGGTGCACTTTGTTATATCTCAGTTAATGAGTACTCTCCACACACTTAGGTTTCCATCAGTAACTCTTTTTAAACTGCCTGGACTGTGTGTACAGTGTAAGAAGTTTGTCAAGGTTAGCTAGAATGATAGAGCCTAGAAAACAAAATAGATAGTAAGTGCATGTATATACCATATATGTTTTGTGTGTATATATAATGTATATGTTTAAGACATATAATGTATACATTTACGGTGTATATGTATACAGACATTTTACACACAATGCATAAAAAATTGCTAAATAATCTAGTCAGCAAATGGTGTCAGTGTTTCTTGAGTTCTTGTGTGGCTTAAACTATAATCCTTCATTGATTTTATTAAAGTAGAATTTCAGAAAGGTATTGCTGATTCCAGCAAAGTACTAGTTGTGCTGGTCTTGCAAGGATCAATTCCTTTTATACACAACTCGCAGGAGCAAGAGAAACATAACCTTGAGGGTATCTCTTAAAATTAAAACATCCCATACAGTTTTGCATTCTGCAAATTTTAGGTTACTTTTACAAAACTATAAAATAGAACTCTGTGTTTCCAAAATGTGTGACAGGGAGGTTGTAATTTAGTCACTTCTCTGATTCCCGCAGATCCAAGGTTCCCAGGTCATCCCTTGTTTGAGCAGCGGAGCCCCCCACCGCCGCCCCCTCCCCCGCTGCTGAACAGCGCCCACCCGGTCCCTGCGCAGAGCCCGATGCCCTTCAGCCAGCCCGGGCCGGCCTTCAGCCAGCAGGGACAGCAGCCCGTGTATCCCAGGGAGCGGCCGGTGCGGCCCAACATGCAGCCCCAGGGCCCGGTGGGGATCCTGCACTTCAACCAGCCGGGCTCGGCCAACCCGCGGCCCTTCATCCCCCCGCGGCAGCAGTTCCTGCAGGCGCCGGGACAGCCCTTCCTCTCCCCGCACACGCAGCCCAGCATGCAGGTACAGGCTCAAACCGAGGGACTCGGGTATGCAGGTGGGAGGTGGATGGACCTGCGACACTGTTGTCGCCGTGCCTGGAAGGCGATGGATCTGCTCCGCGCTGCCGCATCCCAAGATCCCCTATCCCGAGATCCCGGGCCGGGCAGCGCGGGGCGGCAGCGCCCTCTGCCGGCACCGCCCTCTGCCTGTGGGGCTGCGGGGAAATGTCAAGTGCGGGATCCTCTCATGTTATCTGCGTTATCTGAACGCGGGCCGTTGCTGCGGTGGGAGGGGAATAATAAACCTCCAGTTAAACAAAAAGCCAGTTAAAAAGTCATTGGAAAAGGGTGCAGAGGGCAGGAGTTCTTGCGTTTGTCTGTTTTGTCTGTTTCCACCTCAGCTGTTGGTTTACAGAGGTTTAAGTGTAGAACAACCTTGCACTGCTTCTGTTAGTATGTTTTTCACTCTGTATAATTTTGGTTTAACCTGGTTCATAGCTGCTTACAGGTGTTTTAAGGATTCGTGAGGCTAGAGCTACTTTTCTTCAGGAGTTTATTACCTTGAAACTAAAATAATCTTTTTCTTCACGTGAAGGGTCCCATGCATCCTCCGTTACAGCCTCAGCCACAACCTCAGCCTCAGCAGCACCATCACCAGCAGCAACAGCAACACCATCACCAGCAGCAGCAGCAGCAACACCATCACCATCTCCAAGGGCCTCCCCAGCCCTTGATGCCCATGAACCAACCACAGTTCAGGCCTCACATTCAGGCCACGCAGCAGCAGCCAAATAACAACAGGATGCAGTGTCAGCCACGACAGGGTCCAATGAAGCCAAGGCATGTAAGTACCACGTACATCGGTGTTGCCTTGCATAGTTCTGCATGAGTAGTAGGCATGTAAGCACAGGTTTCAGAACTCACCAGTGTGGTTTTTCTGTCCCATTTATTCCCTTCCCTTCTTTCGTAATTTCTTGCTTATTTTCTGCCTTGGTCATTTTATAATCTACATTGAAAAATAGCATATGTATCATCCCCTTTTTCTTTCCTCCTTCAGTCTTCAGTGTTGGTTTTCCCCTGGGTCCAATAGGAGGTGTTGCAGTTGTCCAAGAAGTAGCAATATAGGGTTTTTGAAGGATAGGTTTGCCTAATAATACTTTACAACTGCTGGTAGCCTGTGACTGTGAGAGCCCAGTTCTCTGACACTGTCTTTCAAGCTGAAGGCCTCTCTGTACTACTGCTAATCAGCTCTCTGGTTCAGATAATGCCACTCATGTCTTGTGAGTTTGCTCCCATGCAACACATTCTGTTGCTTGGTAGGTTGGGGTAGCACAACAGTCTGTAGCAGAGCTCAAGACAATGTGACTAAAGTTCAGAATAATTACTTTGATTAGGAAAGTAAGTCACATAGTGAAGCCGATTTCTGAGAATGGTGTTTAAAAAGTGAGATTAAATTTTGCTTTTAATTAGAAAAAAGTTTATTAAAATGTTCTCATTTCTATAATTTTTCTTCTGACATTGAAAATATTGTGCCTCTTCAAACAGCTTGTTTCCCCAAACTTAACTAAATCAGGAAAATGTGAAACCAAAACCACTTCAGCCTGGTTTGTAGTGGAAGTCTGCAATGTTTCTTCCTTTCTGCTTTTCAGAATACACCATCACAGAATATTGTCAAGCGCTCAAATCAGCAGCTACAGTCAAGTGCTCCCAGGAACAGTAACTTGCGCGAGTTGCCGATAGCACCGTCCCATGCAATGGAAATGAGCAACAACAGGCGAAACTCCACCCCAGCTGCTCAGGTCAAACCCATCACCAGCACCATGTCTGCCACCAAGTCTGTCGGTGGTGGTGGAAACTCCCAGGGAAGGCCTGAAATGAAAGCTAAAGCAATCCCACCAGTGGGCCAAGCAAAGTCAGAGGGAAAATCTGAACCAGAGGTAAGGCATTTGGTTGTTGATGTGGTTGTTAAACAAAAGAACAAAACCCAAAAAATCAAGAAACAGAGTTCCCACCTGTTAAAAACTTTTCTGGTCTGACTTATGAATTGTAAGCACACTTAATGTGGTGTTCACCAAATAATTTTTGGTGCCACTAGAGGCCTCCCTTCTGAATTGCACTTTTCTCTTTTAGTGCAATAGCAGAAACAGCCTCCATTGACAAAAAAAAATCTGGAAGGATGGCAAGGCTGTGGTGAATCGGTTTTGCAGGAGGAGGAGACATTTCTACTATGAAAAGACAGAATTATGATTTTTTTTTTTTAATTTTCAGATGATCATATTCTAAATCAGAAAGCCTCTTCTCTTTCGTTTTTTATGATTCTGTATGGCTCAAAAGGAAAAAAAAAAAGGGTATCTGGAGAACTCTCTTCCTTGTGCTGTTTTCCTTTAGGCTGTTCAGTCTCCACTAGGGCCTTGGGCATCCACGCAGGAGATCATCCATGGAGCTTCTTGCTCTTGAAGAAGAAAATCTCTCTTTTATGAAATCTTGTTGTGTGAAGGAAAATAGGAGATGCTTTAAAGCTTTCCATTTTGGAGAAAATGATGCTGTTTCCTCTGCTAGTACTTTACCCAATCAAAAAAATGAGATGCTGGTGTTTTCAGCTCCACTGGATTATGTAGTATGAACAGATGGCCATTTCCCTGGAAGCTAGAGAAGACTGTCCATGAGCAAGCACTGTTAGTTTGAGAGAGTGGATAGGATTGCATTGATGGTGCTTTTAATCTCAAGCATGATGGCTAAATGCACCTTGTATACTTTATCAGCCTATTCTGTGAAGAACTGTAGTTAACCATGAATCTTGTCTCATGGACCAGGTTTTTCTTCAACAACTGTTAAAAGCTTTAATTGTGGTAATACTGTCTTCCTTCTAAACTGCTCATGATTACTTTTCATCTTTTTCTTGAAATAGGGATGGTCATAACTAATTTTCACAAATGAGGCACAAAAGAAATCCATAGCTAGCAGTGTTTGACCTCCTGTGCACTTGCTTTTCAATGGAAATAAAAAAAAATCCTTTTCCAGCTTTTGATTGTCACCTTTTTTTACAAAAGTATTTAATCTCCTTCTTCTCAATTCAGTCTCTTGGAATAATCTTAGTCACAGAAAATGTGCCTTAGAGAAGCCTCTGTCTTTAGCTCATTAGTAAAGTAAGTCTTAAAGCAAATCAGCTACAGACCTCCCCATCTGAAACATCTTGAAATTATTCTATATTGTAGTGATACAAAAATCAAGGCATTAGTTCTGAAATATCTCTGACAACATTAAGAAAAACTTATGAATATTTTTTAATTCCTCTTTATTAAATGAATTTAAAAAACCCCAACCAAACCAAAAGCCCAGAGCAGTTATCTTGTTCTCTCCGTTTTACGTTCTGAACATATTCTAACAACCCTGTAGTTATCAAACCAACTAATCTTAACTTGGGTGAATTCTTGGGGTATTACAAATCAAGCTTGCTTTTTGTTTCTGTGTCTAAACTATCTTTTAAAAACAGTTTGATACCTGTTCAATGCAAGTTTTTACATAGCAGGATAGAAGAAAAAAAGTTGTCTTGGAAAAAAAAAAAGTCTCCTAGTGTTAAATATTATTACCTGTAGAAGTACATACTTGGCAAGAATTAGGAGAGTGTGGAATTAGGAGAGTGTGGAAATGTGTGCACACACAGAATCCTTCTCCTTCCAAAGCAGACCTGGAATAGAGCTTTGTGCTGCAAAAAGTGTAATAGCAGTTGTCCCTTTTCAGCTGTGCCACTGCTGTGGTCTTGTTCACTGATGGTGCTTAATTGTCACTCCTACAGACAGGATTGGCACTCCAATAATGATCATTTCCAGGCATTTAGCCATATTCTTCACTGGTATTGTAATGTAGGTTATTACATTTCTCTCCTTAGCCAGATTATAATGTTTTCCAGTCTCTTTTGTGTGTTTTTCTTGTAATTACCTTGACTGCACCCTGTTCTTTTGCTTTCTATGAAGATGAGAAAGAGTTAAGTTTTGTCATCTTTTCTAGCTGTATTGCTCATAACTGAATTGGGCAGGTTATTTTGCAAGTGTCTTCAACTGGAAAATTATTAATATTTTCCTTGCATCTTTCTTCCCAAAGAATCAGGGGCTATATTTGAGTGCCCTGTCATTCATGAACCACAAAAAAAGAACTAGCAATATTGTATATTAGAGGTTTTGCTCAACTTAAATATAGATATTTGAAAGGTTTCCAATGTGAGTGAGTAGAAGATTAAAAACTGTATTTCTGCTTTACTAAGGGAACACTTGTGGTCCTGTGAGGCTGCAAAATGCTGAACTTAAATGCCTGTTTAGACTAGCTCCTACCCTCTGGGATTTAAACTTGTATATCCTCAGTCTGAAACATCATTTTGTCAATGAAATTGGAAAGTCTGGATGATGTGGGCCTAATTGTGCTCATGTTGAGGTCAGCTTAGGATAAGAGGAATGAAGGCAGTGTTAAGCATTTTTTAGTTTAAAGAAGGGGAAGAATGGAGAAAGGAGATTTTATAATGGTGCCTCCTTTCTTTTGCTTAGAAGATTCTTATCATAAGTTTTTTTTCCAGTTGGAATTTGGCAAGAGAGCACTGGGTTTCTTCAAGTAATTTGTAATCTCTTTCTTCACTCTCTTCCTGTTTTTCCAAGATGTGCAGCACCTGTGTTTTGTAGTGTCTTATACCTTTCTACGGTTCATGAGCTGATTTTATCAGCAATGTGAAATGTGTGATGTGAATATGTAGGTGCACTTTATTTAGGATATTTTGTGGGTTTGAACACAAGCAGCCTAATAATGCAATTTCATAGAATCACAGAATATGACAAGTTGGATCATCACACGGATCATTGAGTCCAACTTCTGGCCCTGCACAGAACCATCCCCAAGAGTCACACCATGTGCCTGAGAGCATTGTCCAAACACTTCTTAAGCTCTGTCAGCCTTGGTGCTGTGGCCACTGCCCTGGGGAGCCTGTTCAGTGCCCAACCACCCTCAGACGGAAGAACCTCGAACATCCAACCTAAACCTCCCCATACACAACCTCAGGCCATTCCCTCAGGTCCTGTCACTGGTCACCACAGAGAAGACATCAGTGCCTACCCCTCCGCTTCCCCTCAGGAGGAAGTCATAAACTGTGATGGGGCCTCCCTCAGTCTCCTCCAGGCTGAACAAACCAAATACCCTCAGCTGCTCCTCACACGGCTTCCCCTCAAAGCCCTTCACCATCCTTGTTGCCCTCCTTTGTATGCTTTGGATTTGACTGTACAATTTATGAAGACTTGGCAGGAATTTTTTGACAAAATTATTCTAGCCTCTTACGTTTTTATTGTTACAACTGAAAAAAATAAAGGCAAACCTGCTGAATAGATTTGTGTTTATGCCACAAATCAAACCATTTTGACTCTGTTCTTGCACCCATTCTACTGAGGGACACCCTGATTGCCCAATTCCATTTTTGTTCCTTAATAGCAAACCACCAAACGTACAGTGTCCAGTTCTTATGACTCAGCATTCAATTCTATTAGATGGTCATAAATCTTGCAGATCATTGAAAAGGTGTGGGTTTATTTTTTTCTTTGTTTGTTTGTTTTTTAATTCACGTGAAGCAAACTGCTGATGCTAGGACTTACATTTCAGTAGAAAGTTAAATCTCTTATTTTAGAGCACGTCTTTGCTGCCTTTTCTTCAGTCAGTAGTGCCTTTCTAGGTTCCCCTGGAGAAGGACATAGGACTCCTGCTTCTCTTATGATACTTTTCAACTAGATTCAGAAAAGAATCCTGCAACATTTTCTTTTGGTACTTTCTGTCAAAGCTGCCTTAGACCTTAAGGCAGAAGAAAAACCTACAGCTAATGCTCAGTCTTCCCTTCAAACCTCAGTGAAATACATTGTGTTCAAGAGCTGTTCAAAGACGGATGAGAATTTCCACTGAGAGAAAAGAGAAACAAACCCACCCCAGATAAAACTAAAACTCTCAAAACCTGGTAGAAAAAAACTCACTCACCTTCACAAAACCAAGTGAACTCATTTGTTTCTCTGGCCTTTTGTAGTCTGCAGTCTCCTGTAAAAGGGAACAATATACAGTGTACTATTTCTTCATGCTATGGAGCTTTCTACACAAAACATGTGAAACATTAATAGTCTATCCAAGAAAACAGCTGTTCTATGTGTTTTTTGCTTGTCACCTACAGATAATGTTGCTTCCAAGTGCAGGATGTGAAAATTACAACGGTTTGAACTTCGAAGGATGTCTACTTCCTCCCAGTTGATTCTGTAGACAAAATACTTGCTTGCCTTGCCTTTCTTTTTTTCCTTGGTAGTGTTATTGTTTCTTGGACAAATCTGTACTGGCCTTGTTAAACTAGTGGGATGAAAGTCACTGGCAATAGGCGTTGCCTGTTGTTTTTATCTCTTGACCCAATATGCTGCCTTGCCTGTTCTGTGTGCTGAAGCTCCTTACTGCATACTATAGTTCCTTTATATATAGTATAGATCATGTGTATACCCCAACTCTCTAGTATGATGTGTATAAGGTGCAGTTAAAGCTGAGCAGCAGAGGATTTAACTGCCCCTGTTTTCATCCAGGTGAGGAGTTTGCCCTTCTCAGTCTCTGCTGTTGGGTCACTGTACAACTAATTCAAATCAAACCTGACTTTTAATGCAAGTATTTTGTTGGTCATCACAGGACCTTTATATTGTTCAATATTCCTCTAGCTGCAAGGGTATTTTATTGAGAAATTAATGGTAGTAGTAACTTGCTTGTGAAGGTGAAGGATTTAGGTCTACCTATATATATCCTGTTAACACACTGATCTGCAGTTGTCATATAACCTCAGGGCTTTTGGCCCTTGGTTTTGAACCTTACCCTTTAAGAAGGGATCGACTTCATAGGATCATTACTAATTTCCTGAGTTGAGTTCCTGAAAGGAAGGTTTCGGTTTATATTTGAGATCAAGTTGCCTGAATATTCTACTAAGTATTCTTTTAACTTCATGTATGTATAGTAATACAGTTTGTCAGTTGTCTTCTGTGTTTAATGTTGATGTAGTTGAAATCACTGTATCTTCCAAGGACTGTTGCAGGGACGTATTAGTCAGAGTCCCTCAGGATGTTCGTTCCTTGCCTGCTGGCAGGACTCATTTAAGTATGCTGTAAAGTGCACACCTCTGTGCTGCTAGGTAACCTTTGAGTTAGTGCTCTGAACTTACCACATTATAATCTGCATCTCCCAAGGCCTTCAGGACTTGTTAGGTGATCAAATGAGCAAGCAATCCCTGATTATAAAGGGCAGTTGGTAGAAGTGCTGGTCTCACACAGACTTGTGCTGGTATTGACAATCGAACAGGAGGGAAAAAAATACACTGCTACCTCCGAAGGTAAACCTGAAACTGGCTCATGGCATCCATCAAGCTTGTTTAGATAAGTTGTAGAATATTCTGATCTAAAACAAAGCAAGTCAGTAAACTAATTCGCTAAGTGGAACAGGTTTTCTGTTCTGACAATTTCAATAACTGTGATATTTAGTGTCTTACTAAAAACTTACATTAATTGTATCAGGATCTGCATAACAACACATCCTTCTCCTAGCCAGAGTTTATCTATGTTTTCTCATCCTATGCAAACCATTTTTAAGGGTCTTAACATTTCTCTGTATTTCATAAGTGTCATATTCCTTTTTTTTTTTTTTTACTACAATCAGCATTTTCACTTGTCAGTATAAGGTGAAATATTTGTTTCCTCCTGTAGAAGTATATTCTTGTTACCATCTGTCAACATAGACCTCTAATCTAGTTGTCACAGTGATTAGACATTAATTACCACCATTATAGTCCAAAAAGTATAGAGAAAGATCTGAACTTAAGGTATATGGAACATTCTCATGCAAAGGGCTGTTACACCTCATCCCTGAACTCCAGCCCATATTCAGAAATTAAATACAAATTTTAAAAGTCGAGTTTTGTTGGAGTCCTATTTAGCCATTTTTTTAGGCTTCTGATTAGACTTCTAATGTGAGACATGGAGCTGTTTTTTCAATAACTGTGGGAATAATCCCTATCAAAACCTGCTCAGGGAAGAAGCAGTTACAGCTGAAGGAAACACGTGTTCAGGATTTGTGCATCTGGATTTTATAAGAGCAGATATGAGTGTACTGGGCTTCTACATCTGCACAGATCCCTTGGGTTGGGGGGGATTCTGGGGTGCACCACAATTAAAAGCACTCTAAAAATAAAAAAAAAAACCCACGAGCGGTCGCACATTTGGGTCCCATGTGTTGTGTTGACAACAGTTTGTACTCAGTTCCTACAATATACATAAGGGTTCCTCACAGATTCCCAGGTTTGGAGAAATATTTCAGCATTCTTCATCCGTTCATTTACCAACATGCAAAGTGTTGTTACTTATAGAGCCTGTTTTTATTAGTGGTGATTAATATCTCTTGAGTAGAATGTTGTGCTCATTACCATTTGTAAGCAGTTTCTGCAAGTCTAACTTCGTGTTTCAAATGGTTGAAAAGGAAAAGAATATAATGAAAAAGCATGCCTCCTAATTTTGAAAAATGCATGTGCTATTACTGCAAGAACCATTTGATGTCTTTTCCAGGATGATGAGAATCTACATTTCCTTGAGTCTTGTCCATTTTTTTACAGCATTTCCTAAGAACTCATTCTGCCAGAGTTGAAGAATCTTTAGAAAGGTTATTTGATGGTGTATAGTACTTTCAGAGGGGCCTAGGGCTGGAATATTAAAGGCATTCTCTATATACCATTAATATTCCAACACTGCATTTGGCAACATTTTGATTCTGAAGAGAGTGCATGAGTTCAAGGTCAGAGAGATTGACTTGTGCTGTTCATTATAACCAATTATTGTGTGACAAATGAGTTTGAGATCAGGCTGAAAATTCTGTGAGAAAAATCAATAGTTCTAATCAGGGCCTTTCAGGTCATTTACCACCCTACCTTTTGTTACTTTGTCAGAAAAGAGCAAGATAAAACCTGTGTGACAGTGGGTTGCCTCTGTATTGTTACCTTCTATTTGAAACATATTTTGATATCTTGAATTATATTAATAGTTTAATTGGTTTTGGAAACTTTTAAATTAGTTCCAATTTGTCAAACTTTTTTGTATATTTTTTTTAGTATTCTGATCAGATTTGTCAAGTGGTATTAAAGCTTTTCTGTCTAGGAAGTAATATATCTAAGTCCTAAACCAGATTTGAGCTGTTTGTCTGTAATGAATAGCAAATAAACGTTAGCAACAGATGCACTTCACTACTAGCCTTCGTTTGGTATCAGGGATAATTTAAAAAGCTCTTCAGAGTTACAGCTTTACAACATCTGGAACAACAATTCAATGTTGTTTTGACCAAGCTGGATGTTCCTGTTTAGAATTTTATAAATTCATTTGCATTTTCCCTTGTAGTACCCAGATGAAGATGAAGAAACCAGGTTGTATCGTTTGAAGATAGAAGAGCAGAAGCGTCTGAGAGAAGAAATTCTGAAGCAGAAGGAGCTGAGACGGCAGCAGCAGGCTGGTGCCAGAAAGAGAGAACTGCTGGAGAGACTTGCACAGCAGCAGCAGCAGCAACCTTCCACACAGCAGTCCTACATGCAGCATGAGGATGACTCCTCTGAGTTCCCCACCAACGGCAGCCCCTACATACCCCACTCCGGCTTGCACACCAGACACAATGTGAAAAACAGACTCCTTGTTAGAAAGCAAGACACAGTAGTTCCAAATATCCAGCCCAAACCCACAGAGTTCCTCCAGAGCGGAGGGGGGGATATGCAGTATCAAGGACAGCAGATGAAGCCGGTGAAGCAGCTGAGGCAGACGAGGACAGTTCCTCCGAGTCAGCCTCAGGCACCGCAGAAGGTGTTACAGACAAAACCTGCTGCAGCGTCACTGCCCACGACACAGACGGCTCGAGTGGCTTCGGTACCAGCCAGGCCCCAGGAGCAGAAACCGGGTGTGAAAAGGACTGTCATGCAGCGGACAAACAGTGGTAGTGATGGGCCTCATGTCGGCAGCAAAGTCAGGGTGATTAAGTTGTCAGGAGGGGTAAGTTTCCAAGGCTCGTCTCATATGTGTGTCTTGTCATGGTTTGTTTTTGTGTGTTTGATTCTGTGTAATCCCAAAATAAAAGATGGGCCTAAGGTGATGGAGGAAGTAACAGGTTTAGCATACTTAATAGTCCTAATATTATATTTTCAGAACTGTAATTTATTAGCAGTTATTAAAAAATTAATGTTTCCTGTAACCCTTTACTGCCAGGCAGTTACCACTGAAATCACATTGAAATAATACTCCTTTCTATTAAGTTGTAATTGGAGTCTGAAAGACTGCTCAACTGAGCTCCTTTTGCTTCAGGTTGATAGGTCAGTCTGATAATTGCTCAGAGTAAAGGATTTGGGTGGCTGTATTTAATTAAGGTTTGGTTAAAAAGCTAGGACCTGCTTATTTGGTAGGTGAAGCCACCTAAATTAGTTGTGTGCAGATGTTGGTGTTGGTGTGGTTTCTGTACTCAAGGGAAGATTGCTTTTACTTTCTTGGGAAGCGTGTTGTGAAACCAATTTAGGCAGTGTGTTGGAGGGGGATGTTTTCCTTTAGAGGTTGGGTTTAAAATGTTACCATTTCACTTCTGCATCTAAATGAGATTTCCTTATCTTTTGATGAGGGGTCTATTATCTGCAGTGTGTCCCTTGAGCACTGGTGTCGTGGAGGACTCACAATGCTAGTCTTGAGGGCAGTGTGTGTATTTAAGATCTGGGGCTTTGGTTAGAAAGTCTAGACCAAATTTTTTCTGTCGTAATGAAAAGAGAAATTAATTTGTTAGGGCTCTAAATAAACTGTGATGAGGGGACATAGTGAGATCATATTGTCAGTGTGTGAGGTCTGTCCTCGGGTTTATGCTGAGGAGAAAAGAAAGATCTGATATAGCACACTGGAGGTGTTTTTTTCTGGAAGAATGCTTCTTACATTATTCAGAGCATTAATTAGGCAAACTTGCATAACTGTAATCTGTAATGAAGCAAGCAGTGTGTTAACAGGGACTGAACAAGGCCTTGGAGGCTAAGGCTTTACATTTAGAAACGGAGAGGAAGCTGAAATGCCAAAGTCTTAACTCCTTTTTGTAAATGTTTCTCTACAGCTCATAAAACTTAAATACGCTTAAAATTGTGAATTGCGTAATGACTGTGTGGTCTTTCAAAATATTAACATACAGGGCCTTATTGGCTACTGAGACATCCTGCATGTCAGGTTGTTGTCAGCTCTAATTCCTCAGAGGTGGTAACTTAAGTACAGAGGAATAAAGTATGAGAAGCTGAAAGAAATTGATTCTGTTGAGCTAAAAATATTTATATATAAGTATGTCTGCAGAAATCCCAGTGGCCTGCAAGAGGTATGACAGGTTTGTGTGTCATGAATAATTGAATAAAGCAGTCATGCACGATTTCTTTTATTATGTGGTGAAACAAAACAATGCCAGTCACAACTGTATACAGCTCTTCATAACAAATGGTTATCAGTGTCCACAGCAGCATTCACAATGAAACAGTTATTATCACAATGCTCTGTTTCAGAAGACCATAAGTGTTTCAGATAAGTCTTACAGTAAGCAAGAGCAATTAGCTTCATTAAATGTACGTGTAACCTCTCTGTACACAGAAGTAGATTTTCTCTGTCCTTAACTTCCAGTACTGAGGTTTTAGCAAGGTGAACCAGGTTCTTTACATCTAGCCTTTGTTACTGTTTTCGTTTTGCCATAGACATTTTAAGTTTCCTTTACTGTGTGAGAATAAGAACAAGCATTGCAATTAGCTGTTAAGACTGATCAAGATAGATGATTAATTTTTAATCAGTAAGTGACAAGCTGAATCTGTGACTTTGTTTCTTTGACCACACAAGGAAAAAAAAAAAATTAAGCAGCAGGCAGGGCAGCTAATCTTCTTGTCCGTTTTTGACAGGATTTAAAAGAGTTCCAAGCTGCTTGGACTCTGAATACTTTCACAATCGCAGATCATACTTAGTTTCCACTGCTAATGTTTAGTCCTGCCACGTGCTTTTATTTTTCACAACTTTTGCCTGAGCGCTAGATATAAAAGCAAAGGCCAAATCTCATTTTTCCTGGCCATTCTCCTTAGCATGTAACAGTGCTTCCTCCAGTTCCCTGCCTTTGGCCAAAGGGGTGCCTGGTGTCTCTTACCTGTGTGCACTGGCTCGATCCTGCAGTTAAGCAACCCTGCCTTTGCTCTCTGTCTAATCCCTTTTTCCTTTATTGAGCTCTTTTGTGCAGAGATGTTTTGAATACCCGTGTACAACTGAGATGGCTCATGATTAGACACAGTGCAGGTTCCCTTTTGGATCTCATTGGATTCATTTTGGTAGAGACTTGTCAAGTCCCTTCCCTTCCATCCTGCCAGCCATGGACAGCACTGTAGGAGAGCTCTCAGCTGAGGAAGCTGATCTAATGCAGACCTGTACTTAACTCTGTCTAGACCAAATTGGCCTAAACTAGAAACTGGTAGCAGGGACTGTTATTCGTTTAGTAGGACCATCTATAGATGGTCCATTAAATGGTTTTGTGTTGCTGGTGATGTTTTTTGTTTAACAGTTAAGGAGTGTGGTGTGTTGGTGAGATCTGTGGTGTACAAATACTGTCAGAAGAGAATGGTTTCTTTACTTGAGGACAGTGTCTTTACCAGACTGAGTTTCTGTCTGTGTTGCTGGGCACAGCAGTACTAAAGAGATGATTGACCTACAGGTAGAAATATCCCTCAGTCCCTAGAAGGTAAAATGGCCTTTCATCTGTATCCACAATATTCTCTTGTGAGGGGATTTTACTTTTGGAATTGTAAGAGTTATAATATTATAACTTACCTGGTTTACGTGATATGTAAGATGCCTTAATTTATGGCTTCTTATAGTTCGGGGAAAAAAAGCAGAAAATTATTCAGCATTTCTTGTATGTCAGACTAAGTCTTTGTATCAAGGTGACACATTTGGTACTGTCAGTCATGATTTTGTCTGTTGATGCTTTTTTTTGTTGTTTGTTTTTTATTTGTTTTTTTTGGGTGGGTTTTTGGTTTTTTATTTAAACAAATCTCACCCTTCACCTCCCTCCCAATACTGATTTGCCCATCCCTTTCTAATACTCACGTAATTTATACAGGAATGGCAGTACAATCAGGTTTTCATTTTAATTACTCTGGAAAGTGAGGCAGTGTTTAGCATATGAACTTTGATTTGTTTATGTTTTTGAGGAGTTTTTGGATCAATTTCCCCCCTCCTCCCACCCCACCCCATGAACACCCAAATATCTTTTGATGGATCCAGTGGGCTTCATTTTGTGTGGCATTTCTGCAGAGGTTTCCTTTTCAGATATAGGAGTTCAGTGTATTTACTGAGTATTCATACTAGTATATTTTACTAATAAAACATCTGAGATTTGCTTGGCTTGCTGAGGAAGGAACCAGAGGTCAGTCCTAAAGAATCACAGAAACTATTAGGTTGAGAAGAACCTCTGAGATCACCGAGTCCAACCTGTGACCCAACACCACCATGTCGATGAGATCATGGCACTGAGTACCATGTCCAGTCTTACTGAAACACCTCCAGGGATCGTGACTCCATCGCTTCCCTGGGCAGCCCATTCCAATGTCTAGTCACTGTTTCTGTAAAGAAATTTCTCATAATATCCAGCCTGAACCTCCCCTGGCACAGCTTAACACTGTGTCCTCTTGTACCATCACCGGTTGCCTGGGAGAAAAGACCGACCGCCACTACAACCTCCTTTTGGATAGTTGTGGAGGGTGATGAGGTCTCCCCTCTCCAGGCTAAACAACCCCAGCTCCCTCAGCTGTTCCTCATGGGACTTGCATTCTAGACCCTTCACCAGCTTTTCTGCTCTTCCCTGAACCCGCTCCAGCACCTCAATATCTCTCCTGAACTGAGGGGCCCAGAACTGGACACAGTACTTGAGGTGTGGCCTCACCACGGCTGAGTGCAGGAGGAGAATCACTTTCCTGGTCCTGCGGGCCACACCGTTTCTGATGCAGGCACTTGTAGGGTGCATATAAGAATAAGATCAGTGGGATTGTAGAGTAAGTGGAAAAGAAACACCCAAATCACTTCAAAATGTGATCATAAAATTATAGAAAATAAAGGTGAAAGGACTGTAGAAATAATTCGTTGTCTTGAAGAGAGGATGAACACTGTAGTATTTCTGACATTTATCCAACCTTTTTCTGAGATCTCATTATTGTAGATTTTCTGGGCTATCTATTCCAGTATCAAACCTATACATTTAAGAAAATTTTCTTAGTGATCAAACTACATTTTCTTGTTGTAATTTTGAATCTGTGACTCCTTGTATTATGCTTGAACAGAGATGGGAAAGAACTTTATCTCTTTGTGTCTGTCTCTCTTTTTCAAAGTCTCTTAACTGTTTCTAGGCATTGATGAGTCATGTTTTCTAACACCTTGGCTGTTTGTGGTGGTCTTTGGGCTCTCTGATCAGTCTGCTGGTGAATAGTTCTAGTACCAATTTCTATTGAATTCTTTAAGCCCATATGTTGAGTGGTTTTAGTCCTGGAAGAACAGGTTTGTACCAACTGCAACCTTAGATATCTTAAGATCATATGAAATATCTGCTGAGCATTTTTTCCATTTAGTTGGAGATTGATTCTGTAGGAAATTATAGTATCTTAAAATATCTGTATCATTTGGTCATCTTATGTTGTTGTTGTTGGATGATTTCTCTCTAGCCAGAAAATGAGCTGCCATGCTCAGAGAGATGTGTGTCCCAAAGGCCTGAAAATGCTGGTTTTTACGCTGCACCAAGAACACACCAATCTTTGTCTCTGTGGAAGGCTGCACAATGAATTTTTTTCATAAATACATATATAGATATAAATACATACATAAAAATCTTGATGTTCCCTGTTGCATTAGAAGCAGTATCTTTTTGGTGATCCTAATTCCTGAAAACCTGAAATGCTTCATATGAAAAGCTTGAAAAAAGGATTGGCAAGTTCTTTTGTTTGAAAAGCCTGTCACAA